ATAGTTCGCCGCCAGCATCACCCTCCCCGCCTCCCCCCTTTAAAATCGGCCCCAACCTCGAAGATGAGCTCTCCATTTTACGACGTACGGCCAAGTTGAACGCGCGGACGCACGGTTGCCGAACGAAATAGGCGGCTTTCGTTGCCTCTTCACCGCATGCTGGATGGACCAACTCTCGCTAAGGCCGCTTCGAGATCTCCTTTTTTTTTTTTTCTCTCCTTTCCTTTCCTTTCCTTCTTTTTTTTTTTTTCCCTCCATTTTTTATTTCGGTTCCTCGCGGCCACTCGAGCCGCGTCGTTTTCGCTCTTTTCTACGGCTGGCTCGCCCATTGGCGCAAGGGTAGTTGTTATGAAATTAGCATGAGCGATCTGGCCGAGGTAATCGCTTCGACGAGGGCACCACGTCGGGATTGGACAAGCCGGTTGGAACCGGATGCTTTGCACGTTGCCGCCAATAGTGGGCCGAGGCTGTAGCATCGCCACGTCCCATTGGCTTGCAACGATTTACGAGCACCTTTTGCACCGAACGTCGATGAAGATGATCCTCTTCTTCCACTCTTTCCACGCTTAGCGGCACAGCAACCCCCCTTCGAGGCACAACCCTCGCACGGCTCGGTTACTTCTTCTCCGTTCATCGGACGGTGGTACGCAATTAAGAGTTCCGATGTCTCAATGGGAGCCGAGAGGAGAGATTACCGCCAAGGAGCTGTGCATCTTTGAACGGTCGAGTCGTTCGGTTAAATGATTGCGTTCATTAAGGGACGCCACTCATGGAGGATTCTTCAGATTCTGCGCGTTGGTGATATTTCTGCTCGGTTACGAGATTGGTATTGGCGTGATATTTCGTTTATTTCATTAAGATTGTGGAATTAACTTTCATCATTACCAGTAATTGAATATTATTTGACTTTAATTGCGTGTTACGCATCAATTTTTTGGCTTTTTGGATTTTTTGGATCGTAACGCTTTGTGTTATCAAAAGTAATTTTATGTATATATGTCTTATATTTATGATATTGGAAACGTAATAGGTATTAAGAAAAAAAGTTCAATATGTGAAATAAAGAAACAATTTCTTTTTTTTTTTTAAATTTAATAATTAAATAGAGGATACAAAAATATTAAATTGATATTTAACTTGTTTTTAATTAGACAAATTTTCAGCTTCGAGCAAAATTTTTTGAAGTTGTTTGTATAAATTTGCGCATATACAAAATATTCTATTACAAGTAAAAAAACGATGCAATAAATTATAAAATTAGAAAGAAACATCATAGAGGAAACATAAGAGACGAACTCAATCCTTCTTATTGCATCGATCAAATTTTCTATTTTCAAAAATCTTTACTCTCAAAAGAAAACATCAAATTTGACCAATTCCTAAGCAATTAAATTACAAAATCAGAGAGGAACTCTCATTCCACCCCTCTTACCATTCGCATTACAAAATTACCTCAATCTCTCCCTTTCCATGGCATCAAATTTTCAAAAATCT